TGGGTAATTGAGTTGATTGTTTGATGTTTATACATAATAATTAAATTATTGTGGTTTGAAAACCCTATGTACTCACCAGGTTTCCCAACCTGACCCACTCAAGCTTATTTGTATCACAGGTGTTGATATGAAGTTACATTACACTGAGAGATTAAAGAGATGTAGATCACTAGTGTAAATGAATGTAAGTTATGTTTATGCTTATGTTTATGTACTGATGATGACATCCCAAATGTTTTAAAATGAACAAAAATACATTTCTTCGGAAATGCTTTGATAACGTATTTATCATGTTTTTCTGGGAACAAATTCCACAACATTTTTTATTAAAAGAGGTACTCTGATTTTTATAAAGCATAAACAAAATAGGTCTTTTCTGGCCATGAAAATGGGGATGTCACAGTTGGTATCAGAGCATTAGTTTAAGCGAACTAGGAATATGGATTTATTTCTAGACTTAAACTTAGAATGCTAAGCGATGATCGTGAGGAGTGTGTCTAATAAAATTTAGATAATACACCTGAATAGACACAAACACTAGCTAATTTAGGGAAAATGCCTAACATGCTTTTATGTGCTAAATGATTTATGATGCTAAATGTATGATCGGATCTATGGTCTGTTGCCGACCAGATCTAGAAACTTTATGTGTTGAGATTTCTAAACGTTTAAATATGATATTAGAACTGGCATGAAACTTTGCGGAGTGATGGGGAGGTTTACACGTCGATCGTAAATAAAATCTTTCCTATCTTAATTCTCGTCATTTCACACCAAATGCCTAATTTGGTGAATAAGATCGAAATGGCAAGCACCCGAAGCGGAGCCGGAAACACGAACGGAAACAGGAATCAACCCCCAGTGATTGAGCAAATACCTGTTGTGGTAGCCGCTCCTGGGCCAATCACTATGGCCGGAGTACAAACGATGATTCAAATGATGTTGGATCGTCAAATGGAGGAGACCAGACGCTTACTTCAACAGAACCGAGAGGAAGCTACAATACCGATCGTACAACCTGAAGTGGTCCCCGAGCAATCGAAGGAAGGGAACTACACCCGCCCTGTGAGTCAAGCTGGGACTCAAGGAGAACGAAGAAATGGCCCGGAGAGGGGAAACGACAAGGATGGGCGAATGTATAAGAACTTATCTTAAGTTTGTTAAGAAGAAGAAGGAGTCTCCAGTAAGGATCGAGATTGTGACTTGAAGGTCATAATTTGGAGTCTAACGGAGCAGGTGCAAGATCGAGCACCGCCTGCAGTCAAGGAGTCCAAGAGTTAGATACTCGTTCGAAGCAACATAGAAGTTACGGTTATTACCTAGGATGAAGAGATAACATAAGGAGTCATTATACAACCCTGTTTTGTTGATGATTCCGGGACGGAATCATCCTAAGGGGGAGATAATTGTAACGCCCGCAGATTCGGGCTAATCAATTTAGAGACAATAAGCATCAAAGATGAGTTTTTTATGGAAGATTCTTTAGAAGGAATAATCTTAACCAAGTGGTAGTATATGTTACAAGGGTTCCGTACATATAAAGAACGCCGAAATCCGAGTTATAACGAAGAAGTTATGGCCCGTCGAAGTTTTACGGCAAAACCGGCACGCCACTACGCGATGTAAATAGTGAATTTACGATAGAGGACTTTTTGGACTTACTGATCTAAACAAAAGTTGTAGTATATGTTAAATCGAGAGCGTGCATAAAAAGTACGCCCAAATCTGACTTCGTATGAGGAAGTTATGATTTTTCTAAGATTTGGCCTAGCAGTGCACGGCCCGAAACTTGAATTTTAGATCGAGCGGTTTTTGGCCAATGCGACCTAAATGATAATTGAATATCTCATTAATAGGAACTCAACGACATAAAGACAGACGAAAACGGAGTACGTATGTAGAAGTTATGGATTTTACGCGGACATTTAACAGTGTAGTCACCTTCTACTACTAAATTTAAGATCAGTCGAGAATTAGCCGACAGAGTCAAAAGTAAAGTTGTGGATCATATTTTTACCTACGCGTGGATATAAAGAACGACAAAAACGGAGCTCGTATGCGAAAGTTACGGATTTTAGAAGTCGGAAGTGTGCTGTGCGAAAATGGGTGATATGACACAATCTTGGCCATTGCTTTCTTCCCAAGGCTTGCCACTAGATGGTGACATGCGACACCAATTTCAGCCATATTTCACCCTATAAATACAACCCCTTCCACCCTCATTTTCTTCACACCTTTCCCATTCTTTCTTCTCTCTACACTCTCTCTAAACCTCCCAAAAAAAACTCCCCTAGCGTTAGAAGAAAGTCCCGAAGCGCTCGACGGCTCCGAGAAGAAGAGCTTTCGGCTCGGAAGTCCTGCCCCTGCAGAGCCCGACTTCTAGCCAAACCCCCTCGTATGTAAGATACGTCTACCTAATTTTTAATATAGCTTTTATTTAAATGTAGTAACGTTATTAGGACCTTATAATAATTATTTGAGCTATTATTATGGGTTATATAAGTGTCGTTATAATATCTTTTTAACTACTCGCGGTACGGGAAATCTGGTTTAAAGGGTCGCATAGGGTTGTTGGATTTCAGAAGTGCTATATGCCAAAATGGTCCTGCCCTCCGGTGTTTTATGTATGGCCCCTGTCTGTACATAGTGGTTGGAAAATATTGTTTAAACGCTTATATAATAATAATAATCCTAAGAGTAATAATTAGTCACGGTAAATATTAGACTAAAATTTAGCGATAATAATGCTAGGTTTCGTCGAAGGAAAATAGAATCGATAAAATGAAGCGCTGCCCGAGTTTGGAATCATCACTTTAACAAGTGAGTACATAGTTACTTTCATCTTACACATAGATATGAAGTATTTTATATAAATTACGTGCTATGTGTGCATATTATATGTATACTTGTTATCTATGCTGGATGAATGATTTTATACATTTTTTAAATAGTTTAAACTGTATATGTATTTTATATCTACGAATATGTTGGGTAAAACATGGGTAAATGAATGATGAGAGATGAAAGATGATATGAGTGAACATTGGCAGCTATAGACTTAGTGCCTAACAAATAACATCGGCAGCTATGGACTTAGTGCCTATTGAATAAACATTGGTAGCTATGGACTTAGTACCTGTTAGATAAATGTTGGTAGCTATGGACTTAGTACCTATTAGATAAACACTGGTAGCTATGGATTTAGTACCCGATGAATGAACTTTAGCAGCTATGGAATTAGTGCTTTACGAACGAGCATTGGCAGCTATGGACTTAGTGTCTGTCATATAAACCCTGGAAGCAATGGACTTCGGAATGAACGAATGCAGGATAAATGACTCTTAGGGTAGACCTTAAGAGTAAGGAAGATAATGGGGATGGGTAATTGGGTTGATTGTTTGATGTTTAAACATAATAATTAAATTATTGTGGGTTGAAAACCCTATGTACTCACCATGTTTCCCAACCTGACCCACTCAAGCTTATTTGTATCACAGGTGTCGATATGCAGTTACATTACACTGAGAGATTAAAGAGATCTAGATCACTAGTGTAAATGAATGTAAGTTATGTTTATGCTTATGTTTCTGTACTGATGATGACATCACAAATGTTTTAAAATGAACAAAAATACATTTCTTCGGAAATGTTTTGATAACGTATTTATCATGTTTTTCTGGGAATAAATTCCGCAACATTTTTTATTAAAAGAGATACTCTGATTTTTATAAAGCATAAACAAAATCGGTTTTTTCTGACCATGAAAATGGAAATGTCACATTTGTGAACTTTTATTTTTCTTTGAATTGTAGTGGAATCCTTTTTACCACACTAAATTTTGGTCCTTTTCAATCTTAACGTAAGGAATGGTTGGTATTTTCGTATTTCCAATAACTAAAGGATGTTTGGGTTTGATTGTTTATACAATTGAATATCCGTCTATTTGCTATTGTTTATCCGAATAGATTACAGTAAATGTCCATTTAATCTATAATATATATTTAATACCTAATTCAACTTTTCTTTTTCCCTTTCCTTATCTTTACCAAGTTTCCGACTTTCTTTTATTTGCTGTGTGATGGACGATTTGATATGATATGTAGTGGCACAGAGAAGATGCATACTCCAGAACAGGTTTTGTATTTCAGTTTCCTTCTTATCTTCGTTTGTTGCTGTCAATTTCATCTTTTGGTTATGGCTTTAGTAAAACTTTTGATTTTCTGATCTACCTTTACCTAAAAAAATGTTATTATTTAAATAAATTCCCATGCATGTTTAAATAAAGTATGTTAATAAAGTTTTGACATTTCTAAGTGCTAACTATATATAGATCGCAAGTTTTTATTATTAAAATGAATTCTAAGTTTATGTTTGTCATAAACAATTGCTACAAGTTAGAGACACTTTTTTTTGTTAAAGTTGTTTTTTTTACAATGACTTTAATCTTAGTTAATTAAGGTGGGATTTTAGGTGTCGTTAAAAAAAAGAGTGGGATTTTACATGGCAAGCCTGACTTTATGCTGTCATGCCAGCTACTCATTCGTAAACATTCCACATTTTTTTACCAGCATATTTACAATTTGGCCATTTTTTAATTGCCCTTTTTATGGAAAAATAGTTGTCTCGGAAACCACGAGTGAGAAACATATATATGCTATTGGTACTCCACAATGTCAAAAATTCATGGTTGTTTCAAAATTAAGGTGGTCGAGGGTGAATTTTCACAGGGAAACCAACATTTATCCATAATTCCATATGCTGGTAAGTATTATTATTATGCATATGATATTTGTTTTGATGTATTTACTATTATTATCTGCATGCTTATACTGATGAAATAAATGTGTAGGCTGATTGTTGAAGCATGACACTCTAGAAGAATCTGATGTGGAGATACCTGAATTTAATGCCTCTTACAAACATCAAAAGATCCATTCAGGCATTTATTGCATCAAAAGATTCTTAAATCATATATGCATCCTCAATTTATCTCTAATGTCATGAAATCTCTTCATATTGACCAATTAATGGATCAAGAGGTTGTTAATCTTTCTGGTGGTGAATTGTAATGTTGTCCATATGTAACTGATAGATGAGCCAAGTGCTATTTGTTACATGTATGTTGCTTTCTCTTTTTCATTGCATATGGCATATATAATTTGAAAATTCATTACATTTTATGTTTTGTTTTATTGACAGTTATGCAAGGTGTATAAGCTCTGTTTCAATTGGTGAGTTTGGTGAGTTGACTTTTGTTTCAAATATCAATTGGCATTTGTTATTTTCTTTTAAAATTTTTGTTTATTAATAAATGTTATGATATGTGAATGTGATATGCAGTGCCACCTGCATACAATGTTCATCTGGCTGCATTCCGGGCGAGATTTTACATGGAGCCAGATATATCAGACAGTGGGTCAATGATAAGTGGTGCAGCCGGTGGACGTGGAATGGGTGGTGGTGGGAGAAGCACACGTGCGAATGCATGATCACACTCTTACCTTCTCTGTTCCAAGGTATTTGATTGTTTCAATCTCCGTGTCTTTAGCTTAACTTAAAACAAGGGACTGCAAGTCCATCAAATTCATTTGTGCGGTCAGTTCTGATTTTTAATAGATTTGTTAATTATTACATTTGAAGCAATTTATGTAAGATTTTGTTTTTGAAATGTTTTTTCTTATTTATATTTTAATTTTTAAATAATTTTGATTAATTAAACTTATCATATGTGGTGGTGATGCGGTGATATTTGAGACCTCCAGATTGGCAAACACAAAGAAAATGGAACTCAATGGTGAGTTTTTTTTTTATTTATTATATTAAAGAAAATGTTTTATTGTTTATTATTTTAAGAAAGTTACAAATGAACATATTATAATAACTTAATTAAATTTTAGATCGAAGTAATATTATAATGGTACTATCATTTAAAAAAAACATACAGATTTCAAAAAGATTCCTATTCCGTCTTGTATATGTTGTGTTCTTTACAAGTTAGGAATGAAGGCTTCATTCACATTGCCAAAATGGTTTGCTAAAGCCAAATGACAAGATTACCCCTACCCACCTTTTATATGTACTTCCATCAAAAACTAGATCCACACTCAATTTAGCTTTATTTATTTTTATTAAATTAACACCCGACACTTTTACATGTCTTAAAGATTGATGATAGAAATCTCAAATAGGGAGAAGTTGAAGTCAGGGGTTTAAATTTAGGCAATATTTCAAGTGGCTAAATTTATATAATGGTTTTTTTCTGTATTTTAATTATTTTTTCAACATTGAGTAACGGGGAAAAATGGGCACACATGATTCAAAAAAAAAATTTGTGTCATAAAATGGTTGGTCGACACCTAATCTTGCCTAAATTTTATTTGAACTTAATTCAGTTTTAACATGTGACTGAATGTCATCTTCTTTTTACAATCTATTTTACATTTTTCTTAGTCATCTGACTAAACCACTAAATTTCCTTATATAGAAAAATAACATTAACCTTATGATAATAGTCAGTCACTCGGTCTAAGAGATAGAAAAAAGGTATTGATGTTAGACATTGTATTGATTTACGGTTGTTAACTTTTGGAAAGTTTGTAGCTTAGGAATTTAGCCAAAATGCTATATTTTTTTATCCTTTTTTTCATGACTATTGTATTTTGTTTTGCAGGGATGGCCAAGTTGCATACCTAATGAAGTTTTACATGGTTATTTGGACGAAAATGATGTTTTGCTTATCTTGATGTTAAAATGTGATTAATGAACACAACTTCTGTTTTCACACAACTTCAAAATTTGAATCAAGTTATACAGTTATTGCTTTTCTTAATATTGGTCATCATCCGACTTTGTCGCATTAGTCCAAAAGCGGCGGAGCCGTGAGCTTTTTTCTAGTTATTATTAATTTCATTAAATGTGTCATTAAATGTGACACATGTCAACATTTAATATGGTAGGATGATGAGTAGGAAGAAAAAAAAATAGGAGGATATTTAAGGGGTGTTTGGCAAAAAAATGTTATTGCTTATTAGTTTATAACTTGTTAGCTTGTTAGCTTATAAGCTAATAAGTAAGTGTAGGATAACTTATGAAAAAAATGATTTATTAGAGATTTTCTACCGGAATAAGTTATTTTTCATCTAAACACTTTTTTAACTTATAGTGGTGTGTAACCTAATAAGTTGTTTTAAGAAGCTTAGCCAAACACCCTTTTAATTTCTATTCAGATTTACTTTATTTGATACTGTAGTTTTAAATCCATAATTTTTTTTTCCCATCTTACATTAAGATAGGCTTTCACAAACTAATCACAATCGCAACCACGGATGCACTTTCAATACGTGATTAGACCATCCGTTATGGTCTTCACGACCACCACCGTCTTCCACCTCCACGTCACCACCACAACTATTCCTCAACCTAACGGGATGGTCACTTCCTCGTGGTCTGCAAGAAAGAAGAAGACAGGAAGAGAGAAGAAGAGAGAAGTAGAGAGAAGAAGAGAGGAGAAGAGACCTGATTGGTCGTCCGCCTCCGTCGTCCCCAACACGAACCGCCACGACCACGAGCCACCACGAGGCAGTGGGATGGTGTGCACGAACGTGGTTCGTGGCCAGCTAGACCACGGAGGCCTTCGTTCCGGGTATACCGGACGGCCTTATGTTGCATTTCAGTTTGATTATGTACTCTAATTGATTGTTTAATAATTTGTAGATAAATTTGCATATATTTATTTTCAGTTTGTGTGGTGGTATTCATTTTCAATACGACATTCGTTTCGTTTGATCAACTGAAAACAAAAATTTTAATTTTTAATATACTACAGGAACATTTACACTAGAATTAATGAATGTTTTTGTGCGATTATATAATTAAACGTATATTTTGAGATCTTTACAATCAAGCAATTTACGAAGCTACCACTCTTTTTTGTTACCACAGTTTTACCCTATAATCACAATTTTTCGACACGATCTTTGACTTCTGGGTTAATTGATCAACAGCCACGTTACACTTGACGGTAACCGTTATCTCCCACGTTTTAACGGCACCAATTTTAATTTTCAGCGGCGCCTTAACCTTCAATCTTAATGGCACATTCCGTTTGCCCTGCTGTGATACCAATCGCGAGTGATCATCACGTGCCAAGACAATATTCGATCCCCTTAACGCCGTTTTGATTATCGTCACGTTATTCGTGTGCTGTTGAAGCGTCGGTAACACACCGTTACATAAGTTAACGTCGGCGTAATACACGTTGACAGAGCTTCCTTTTCCGTTGTAGTACATCGAAAGCTTATCGTTAGGGTTTTCTGCTCTAATGTCAACAGTTATCCGCGGGAATATCGGCGCTGACGAAGTCAGGTTGACGCCTCCTATTGAGATGTTATCGATTGAATATTTCAACTTTTCTGGGCGAAAAACCAAGTAGAGAATGCCAGTAGCAATTGCCAGGAGGATTATTAGAATCAATACGGTGGCGATTGTCCAACAGAGACAGCGGCAGCAGCAGCTCCGTCGAGGTTTTCGATTAGCAAGTTTTTTGATTTTGTGAGAATTTTCAGGGGGAGGGATGCGGTAGATCTGATCTTTAGGGATCTGGATAACGTACGTTCCTTGCGGCAGTAGTGGCTTGTCGTCGGAGATAGGAGGCTTGACAGATTCAGGAAGCGGATGGGAGTGATCCGATGCAGCAGCTGGATGAACACGATCTGCCATTTGTGGGAAAGGTAAAATGAAATGAAGGATTGAAGTTTGTTTCGGAAATGGGAGATCGGAGTTGGGAGAGAGAATGGAGAGATATAGAGGGAGGTGGTGGGTAGGCATGAAATAGGATTACAGTGAGGACTTAGCTGGTTTTGGGGAGATGGAGACCGCGTGGCAAGTGGCAACGACTTGCGCGTTCGACATTTTGTGTTTGGCCGGTTCTCTTTTATTAGTTTCACTATAAAGTAGAAACAATTCAATTTTTAAAGGCTTGAATAGATGTTTATATAAAATATTCGACTGCTTACATTGTGATTATAAAATTTGTGTTACTTTCATGATTTATACAATTTGATTGCATAAATTGTTAAATAGATGAAACGTCGATCATTTATATCTCGTGTAAATCCATTTTGCTTATTTTTATATATAAATATATCAAAATTACTTTATTAGATAAATAATAGAATCTTAAACTTGTCACTTGTATTTTTTATAATTTATAATTTTTTTCTTTTATTTTCTAAAAATGACATATGGTTGTTTTTTATGATTTTAAATTTTAAATTTAAATCTTATTCTAAGTTTCTTGAAATTAACATTATTAATAGAATTTTTGAAATTTAAAATGTTTGGTAATAAATTACCTGAAATAATGAATGTATTTTATAATAAAAGAATCATAAACTCGTCACTTGTCATTTTTTTTTATAATTTTTTTTTCTCTTAGTCTCTAAAAAGGACACACATCTTTTTCTATGATTTTTTTTATCTCTTTTAATAAAAGAATCATAAACTTGTGGCTTAACATTTTTTTTTATTATTTTTAATTTTTTTTCTCATACCCAAAAAATTATATATATATATATATATATATATATATATATATATATATATATTTTTTTTTTTATGATTTTACATTTAAATTTAAATATTTTTCTAAGTCTCTTAAAATTAGCATTATTAACAGAGATTTAAAACTCAAAATGTTTGGTAATCAATTACATAAAATAATAATTCTCTCTTTTCTAATAAGGTTTTGGGGAGTGGTGCGCTCTCCGGGTGCGGTCTCACCACCGTGGCAGGGGAACATCGTCTCCTGTGTGCGGTCTAGCCGCAATGTGGCTATATTTGGCAGCGCTTTTTGATTGGGATGTGGACTTTTTGACCATTTGAACGGTCGTTTTTTCCAAAATTCAATTTTTTTTTAAATAACCCTATATCCACATATCTTTTTTTACCAAACCTCACTCACATCTCTTTATATTTTACCATCTTTATCTTAAAACTTCTCAACATGTCTTCTTCCCAAAAGTCTGCCAACGAAAAACACCCACTAGAAACACCATAACCCCAAGATCTTCGTTTGATCAACCGATTTATTCGCTCCCGTATTATCACTATGATGGTATGCTTCCGTATTATCTCCAACAAATCTCACTACCACAACGGCCAACACAACCACTTCAACAAACACAATCACAACCCGAACCAAATTTTAATTTGTTTAAATTTTTGTCTCAACCTGAGTTTGTTCAACAAACACAATCATAACCACGAACACCCATTTCTGATTCGGAACCCGAATTCGTTCAAGAAACTCAACCCACTCGAGCACCATGTAAAAGAAAAAGAGAAGGTGACAGCTAAAGGATGAGAACTCCTAGAAGTGGTAGTATTGGCACAATCATTGAGCGATATTTCAGAAGATACGATGACAGGAACAGACCAAAAACTTGACCGTTTTTGGATGCGTGTAACATAACAAAAATTTCAGCAATTTTAAACATTTCAAAACGATCCTTTTACTATTAAAATGTTTACAAAATTAGTGTTCTCAAAACATTATTTGAAAACCAGCGCCTCCCAAGATCAACGACATAAAATCAGGATGTGTACGGTCACGTCTTCACCTTGCCACGAACCTCTGAAACACCTGAAACCATAAACTAAAAACTGTAAGCACAAAGCTTAGTGAGTTTCCCCCAAAGTACCAACACACAATAGATAACATATACAACAAACAACATGCATACCAGGGAAAAGCACACTAAGTACCAGGGAAAGGCACACCACACTAAGTACCAGGGAAAAGCACGTAAAATATATCTTTCTGGTTTGCGTTAACTTTAGTACGATTACACGTGTCTGGGTTAGCAGACACGAGGTGATGAAATATAATAATATATCTTCTCAGTTATATACGAGTTCACATTAAACCTCTAATTAACCGACTTAGGACTAAAGGCTACTTTAGACTCCCCCGATGTGTATTGTCCATTTAATACTACCTGGAGTCTGTATTTTATTACTTAAGACTCCCCGAGGTGTATTGTCCATTTAATACTACCTGGAGTCTGTATTTTATTACTTTATAGCCAGCAGTGTCACTGCTGAGGTAAAATATTATTTTCCCTATTACACTTACTTTGTGAACTTCTCACATATTTATTAAAGTATATTATGTATTTAGTTAATGAGAGTCTCATGCAGGAAAATACACACTAATACAAGAAACAAACATACATAACATTTGATGCCTTGGTAGAAGGCTACGTTTAGTAGAAAGGGCCATAATGCTAATCTTATGACTCCTTAATGTATACATCAAAGGATACATATATATCAATAGGATCCGACAGGTAATAGGATGTGTGCTCTCCGCTTCATTTCCTGTTCCTTGTTTGGTTGTGGGCTTGGAGCAGATTCACCCAATCTATTTTCTATTTGATTCTAGATATATATGTCCAGTATACATTAAGTCATCATAAGGGTACCAGGTATGGGTCAAGTCATAGGACACAGAGTCAATGCACAGTTTTCTAGTACAAAACATACTTTCCAAATCAAAACTTTAGGTATACAAAACTAGAAACTTACCAGTTATGGGTTTAATCCATTTTATTAAACCAGGATAAACTTAAAGGACCTTAGGTGATTAACTCTATAATACTTTAGTTTATACAGCATGGTTATATATCATTGATACCCAATAGGTAGTTGGATGTGTGATTTCCGCCTTACTTCCTGTTCCTTGTTTGGTTGTGGGCTTAGGGCAGATTCACCCAATTAACTCTCTATCCGATATTATATCATATATAGCCAGTATAAACTAAGTGATTATAGGAGTAATCACTGTGGTCACCATTTTATTATAAGAAATAAGGGTTTTTCTTAAAGAATCTTTTCATTAAATATAAAGAAACCATTACAATTAACTCCATGAGTAACAAGTGAACACGCCAGAGTTATATACAACAATGATCTAACAAACAATGGGATGTGTGCTATCCGCCTTACTCCCTGTTTCTTATTTGGTTGGGAGCTTAGGGCAGATGCGCACAGTCGATTGCTTGTTTACTTTGAGTTTTATATCACTTGTATCCATTTAGTACTCATAGAAGGGATTGTAGGATCATTTTTACGTATCTTTCATCAAAGTAGGAAATATAGGATTTCCTAAGAGGAACTGGCGAACTTTTCTAAACAGAACTTACAACTCACTACATTTTTCAACTACATTTTCAACAGCATTTTACTACAACATTTTACAACTTACTTACATCACTAAAATCTTATGAACTCACCAGCTTAATTGCTGATCAACTCTTTCAAATAACTTGTATTCTCAGGAGCCTAGTAGACAGGTACTCGCACTGGGATTCAGAAGATGGAGCAGTATAGCTTCAAGTCTTGTTTGTTATTTGCTTATGTATTCTATGTTTTGTGAATACACACATTGTAAACACCTTCTTTCTAATGAAATGGTTGTTCATTACTTTGCTTACTATGATGCATGTCTTGTGATACTAAACATGACGTCCTCCACCCCAGAACGTTTCCGCCGTTCCGGTTTGGGGTGTGACAGATTGGTATCAGAGCATTGTTTATAGTGAACTAAGTATATCAACCGATAAAAGATATACAACTATAAATACAATGGTGATTAAGTGCTCTGGACAATGGTATAGTTTAAGAGTATAACGATAAGTTATAAAAATATACCTACTTGCTTATACATGTACATACTAGACCAAGTATGACAAGAAGAACAGAACTAAAGTATTTAAAGGTTGAACATTGTCGTCAAACCTAAACAGTTATGTAATCATAGCTAGGATCAATATAGCCTGATCAACTATATTCATTCGAGATGTGACCGACATGTGTTTGGGAGTGATGTGGTGTTGCAACAGTCTTAAAACTTACCTAAACACCAGTCAAGAGAATACTAGATGAAGTACATTAGAGTTAGAATACTATAGGAGTATTCTATGATACTATAACACGATAACAAGTTTGAAACATACCAAGAAGATTACATTAAAATACTATAGGAGTATTTTAGGCACTATATAAACAACTTACATGATAACTTAAAAGACCCTTACGGATAAGTCTATAATCTTACAATGTATACTCCCAAGGTTTTATATAATTGAGATCTTATAGACTTAGAATTTGTGATCTACGCTCCACTACCTGTTCCTTATTTGGTTGTGGTTTTGGAGTAGGATCACTTATTCGAAGGTCTATTTAATCTTAAGTTATATACAACTTGTATACATTGTGCAATTATAGGAGGACTCTGTAAGGATCACCCCATAAAGTTACCTTAAATCTCATAGATTCTTTAGTCACTTCCATTCTCGCACGATAAGCCTAGATAGATGTAACCACTTCCTCATAGTAGACAACAGAAGAGTCAGGAGGAAACGAGAGCAAGATCATGAGAAGTTTTCAAAGAAGGATCAACCGAAGTAACCAAAACGTCTTACACGTCACACTAATAAATAATAATCTTGGTTAACTTAATGAGTTAGTGGAAACACTGCTCACATTATGTGTTAGGATTATTTTCTTACATGCAGCTGGTAACAGTTATTCAAGTAACAGATATTCATTCGAGGATAGCCATTGCAAATTCATAGAGTTTATTAGGTATAGACTCTTTTATGAATTGTTTCTAGTACCCTGTGGAAGTCAGGACCCGATACACTCAGAACTGGGATAACCTTGTCTTTGCAGCTTTTGGCTTGTGTCCACTGCTATAGACTTATTCCATCTCATCTTTGTATTCATTCAGCAAAGATGCCTCCTCGCAAAACGAATAGACGCAC